GCGCGTGGGGGGGGGGGGCAACCCCCCCCCCATGTGCGTTCTAGGATGGGAAAATGGCATGTGTGGGCGAGGTTTAAGTCATTTCCAGGTGTTCTCAAAACAAATAGTTGGATCGAGCTTAACCTACGAGCCGCTGGGGGGGGGGGAGCATAAAATTGCCCCCCCCCTTACGTTTTGTGGAATATCTTCGAAACTTGATGAGCTACGAACGTGAAACTTGGCATAGCTCCAATTGAATGCCTAGGCAATGTTCGAGAAAAGTTTGGTGGTTGTAGCTCTTAACCCTCGCGGGCCCGGGGGGGGGGGCGTTTTTCGCCCCCCCTGGCGAATATTTGCGATAGCTCCCGAACGCTTAGGGATAGGAAAGCGAAACTTTCAGTACCTTTTCTCCCATCAATTTGACATCTTCTGAAGTAAAAAATTTGGACCTAGCCCCCTTGATGACGTCACAAGGTCCATTTTTCTAGACCCCTGCACGGCAAACTTCGGCGTCACAGACGCAAACTTCAAATAGCTGCTAAAAATAGAGTTTTAGAGATAAAGACAAATTACGAGCACGGTTGTGTAGCGTTTGACCTAGAGAAAAATAGAAAAATAGTTTTGGTGACCTGAGGTCAGAGGTCAGGTCAACGACCCCGAAATGTGGTTTTAGTTTTTCGCAAATAACTTCGACAAAAATGGTCCTAGAGCTACGGCAGTGGTACCATCGCATTCGCCTTGTCAAGCCGCGTCGAACGATATATATTTTGTTCGGAAAAGGTCAAATTTTATGTTGACCTCATGTGACCTCGAATGACCTCTGGTTGACCTTGACACATTAAAGGTCGTTTATGATGGATTTGTATCCGCTGATCACGAATCTGGCATCTATTTTCCTCTAAGCCTTCATTTAGAGCTTCCGGATGACAAAATTCTCTTATTTACTATTACTAACTTGAATTAGTGAAATAGCCTCTAGCAGGGATACTGTTCTGTGACCTTGACCTTTGAGCAGCCTTGTATTGTAAGATGAACCACAAATAGGGAACTGATAAGCCTCAAAACATTTCAAAACATCTTGAAAGTTAGCACGCAAGATGTGCGAAAAAGTGCCAAGTTTGAGGTCAATTTCGAGCGTGACCTTGACCTTGATCTTTGATTTTGAGCACAGTTTCGGAATCCTCAGATTCTTTTCTTTCGTTTGACACCCAATTTTGCCGGTTTGATGCAGCCTGCCGTCCTCTAGAAAGCTTACTTTGAGATCACTACACAAGTGCCGGTTTTTGCCTTTGACCTTGACCTCTGACCTTGAAAATTGACCTGAGGTCAAAAATTTTAGGTGCTTTAGAATCGTCTCGTAAGGACCTTTCGTTTGGTATCGCTTTTGTTTCCGTAGCTCCCTTATTTACGGAGTTTGACAGGGGGGGGGGGGCGAAAAACGCCCCCCCCCCCGGGCTGCGGTGGTTGGGATTACCCCCCGGGCCCGGCCGGGTTAATATGACGTCACAGTGACATACAGTTTTGTCGTTTTCCGATATGGACCGTTTCTGATGACACTGAGCATGAAACTCAACTGTAAATGAACTAAACAGGTCCTGCTGTCATCCTAAAACATCTAAGTACATTTCCTACTATTTCCTGACCAATAATCGGTCCGTTATATTCGGTCTTATTCGTGAGGAAACTGAAAGTCGCAAATCTATAATTTGATATCTGACGTCACGCTCACGGTCACTGTGATGTCATTTCAAAGGTATCAACTCCAAATTCAGACATAACTTTGGCTAGGTATTCAGGAAGATGTGTATTCGCTTCTCTATCTCTCCGCGTTGCGACGATATCGTTGCAGAAGTAAAGGGGGGCAACTATATGCCCAGCGGCCGGCGGGTGGCGCGGAGGCCCAGTGGCCGCCGGGTCAATGAATTTGCAACTGAAAGCAGTGCCCTTTAATTAAAACAGCATTGAGTAATGTTTAGCATGAATTGATTCATGTTCCACAGGAATATGACGCAGTTTAGTTGTAAATTGACAAACGCTGATACTAAATATGTTATTGACACCGATGCCGTCACTGTCTTCTGCTATGCATCGGGTGGCGCCGAAGCTAAGGGCTATAGTTCGCTATTTCCTATTACTCATGACCATCAAATTTCAGCATGAAAATGGTTTATCTTCTCCGGCGTTGAATAATAGCTCGACCTTATGACCGCTGGTGAAAAATAACCTGTCTTCATGTGACAATCTATTATGATTTCGCACTAGATGAGCCATAAATCTTGTTTCGTGCACCGAATAACGGACTTATCGAAGGTGTCACGGAATGTTAACGATATTGCTTTTATATTTCATGCTAGAGCTAGAGCATGAAAGAATGATTGTGACATCGGGTATCTAGGCTTTTTCTTGGCTCTGCTTTTATGGTCATTTTCTCATGAAACTTCGTTTATTTTTTACAACGGTAGCACGTCGATCTAAGCTCACAATGCCTCGCGTTTTATTTTTTTTCATACAACTAGATTTTAATTGAAAGAATGTCGTTAAAACTATAATTACTGCCACACACCTTAGCATTGTAAGGGTCCATTGCCTATGACTGTGTGTATTCTCAAACAAACATATAAGGTGAATCAGACATAAAAACCCCTTTTTGTCAAACGCAACATAACTTTATTTGTTTTTTTTTGTCTTAAAAAAAAACATTTCTGCATATATTTTGTCGATGACACAAATGCTTTTTCATTTAGCTATTTCTCGTTTATTGGGCTCTATGATCAATTCGGCTTCCAGACGCGATCGCCAATCTCGGCCTCATTCGAGCTGAATATCTCCACAAAAATAACCCGGCTCCTTTTCCGGAGAAGTGCCTTTGCCGCTGCCTTTGTTCTCGCTTACGTCAAGAGTCGCGCTGTCCGCCGAAAGCCACTCAATCTCTGCGCCTTTCGGCCGGTCTCGGTCCTCTGGCCTGCTCACCGGCCGTCAAAAGGGCCTGCCTGTCTCGGGGAGGCTCTCGCGCCGCGGCGCTGCGGCTCTCCCCCGCGCTCGCCGGCTACTGAAGTGTCGCAGACGTCAAAAGCCGAAGCCTCTCCGCGGGGCGGACAGCGCAGCGATGGGCGGCGCAGCCACGGGGAGCAGCGGCGAATTCAAAAGCCTCAATAGAATAAGATTGGATGAGCCAGATTGCGACGCCACGGAGGATTCTAAAAGGCAGTATCGCTGCCGGAAACTAACCACGGAAGCCGAAAAGCAATTTATGCCGTTTACCGGTAAGCAAATCGAGCAAAGGACTGCGTGGTGTAAGCGTGATAATCTTATGATTAAAGGTGTTCATTTAATGTGGTAGGTAAATAGATGCGGAAACACTTCGTTTCTCAGCTTTTCATTCTTTTCATTGACGCGCTAATACAGAAACCACAAAAATATTCTCCTTTACATTCCCTCTGGGCTCCGATACCCTGTGTTCGCCTTACCTTCAACTTCCCTTTTTACAAACATCCGTTACCCAATGTTCAATTCTGGCTTGGCGGTCCAGGCCACAATTCAGTATCTAATTGTAAGAAACCCGGACCGCTGCAGCCGGCCGCTGGGCCGGCTCCGGTCGGCTCGGGCCCCGTCTCACGTGTGGCTGTCAGACAGATTTGCTGCCACGGTGGCCAATGTGGCGCAGATTGGCCTGTCGAGCGGCCAATGCGGCGCGGCCAGACGGGACAATTATTGCCAGCCGCGCCGCCGCGCCAGGCGTGTTGTGCCGACGGCCACGGCTGCGACGTTGCAAGTGGTCGCCGTGGGGCTTTGATGCCGTTTTTCCAGCCGGCGAGAGTGCGGTGTGTGCCGCTAAATTGTGCCGCCTGACGGTGTCGACAGGAAGGCAACAGTGGCGCGACGACTGAGACGGTCACCACAGTGTCACCTTGGAGACTGAGTGACTACGCGACAGGTCTGCGCAACTTTTCCAACAGCCGACAAGACGATGACAGGATATATTGTCTGATTATTCGGCGGCAGTCACAAGCTATGACAGCTCCCACATTTCACAGCGCACACATTGTGGAAAGTCTGCTATGCAGCGAGTTGGCTAGAATTTCCCAGAATTTGGGTGGAAAATGACGTTGGGAAGAATCGCGCTTTATGCGAAAGTTGGTTGGCGTCAATCACGTGCGAGCGGTTCTTTGGTGCTCGCATCCGGCAGCTTTTCAGAAAACATGACGTGATGCTGGCGAGCCGTTTGAGGCACCATCGGTCATCCGAAATGAAATGGCAAATAGAAACAGGGATCATTCGTTCTGGTTGACCCATGACCGCCGCGGCAGCTGATGGTTTTCGCACCGGAGCGCCGGCGCCCTCCCGGAGGCGTCGTCAGCTCTGATGGCCGTCGGCCGGGCGGACAGACGCCGGACAGAGTTGGCCAGATAGTTCCCGGCCGCCCGCGCTCGGCCGTCACTGGCGCGTCTGATGTGTGTTCGGACGTCAGCTAACACGGCGAGGGACGTCACTCAGCGCCACTGACGCACGCCGGATCGTCTGTGGAATTATAGCCGTCGCGCTATCGACATGGGATTATGCCGGACTTTCGGCTCAATGCCGCCACACAATGAGACACTTATTGTCAGGCGAAACATATTAAATCCATAACATAAATATTTGCAAGCGTGCGATGAGTTGCAGAGCTTTCACTCCCCCGTGATTATTATGGAGTATGTGTGAGGATTTTTGCTGATGTGCTGGCCTGTAAAAAACAAATTATTGGTGCGATCGCGCCTTGGGCAAATGCCTACCCATAACTTATTTTACTGAATGGCCAAAATGTGCTTACTCCATGCCCATACAAAACAAGCAGCTTAAATAGTGGATCTCGGATCTTCAAACCGAGTCAACATCTTATATGCTTGTTTGACATTATGACCTTGATGAACACCACGCAAACACCTCCTGACATCGACCCTGACCCCTCTGACCTCAATGACCCTTTCAAACGCCAAAGCCCCTAACCCTCGACCTTGACCTTGACCTCTGTTGACCGGCAGCATGGCACACTGCCCTCTGGCGACCTGGAGCGACCCGGCCGGAAGTTACACATCTCACGCATCGTCCGGGAGATGGCCGGCGTCTACGAATGTGTAGCCGACAACGGTCTCGGCTCGCCCGGGGTCGGCTCTGTCAGTCTGCAAGTGCAATGTGAGTAAACCGTGCGTCCCGTGCCGGTACGTTTGTATAGACAATGTGCACAGTGTGAGTAAACTAAGCTTGCAGCGTTGATAAATTGCAAGTTTCTAAGATAAACATGCCCAAGGCATTGTGGGTTTAGTGCAAGGCCCTGTGGTTTAGTGAGTGAACTGGGAGTCGAACGCCTGAGCCTGACGGCTACGCACCTCACCCACCAAGAAGAACAAGAGTGAGCTGCGAGTTGCGATAGATGGGTTAATTGTATAGGTAAACAAGGTGTGTGCTTTGATTTACTTTGAATAGAGGGACTGTTGCAATTTGCATACATGTTTACTGACTGCAAAGTTGGTGTCTGCGCCGGTAGGGCATTGTGGGCATTGTGGGTAGTTGTCAGCTCCAGCTGAACAGACTGCGTCTAAAGTAAACACAGCTGGGGGCGGCTGGGGCAAACAGAAGCCATATCCAAGCTGGCCTCCTAGTGATCATAACCACCAGCAAAAAGCCTAGGTGTGCGATGCATTTGTTGGGTCGCCGGAGAGGCCGTGCAAAATATTTCTTTCCTAATTTGTGAGCATACAAAAATTAAACCTTGAATCAAACAAGCTACAGTTTCAAACGAAATGTTGAACAGCAGCTCAGTTCGTTTGAAGTTATGTAATGAGGTACTTTGTGTAAATGACAAAGATGTTATAGTAATGTAATATTTTATATACCAGTTTTAACATTATATATTATATTTCGGGAGGGACGTCACTCCGTCCACTAATGACGTCACGCGGGTGTCCCACAGACCCACCGGAGATCGAGGTGGAAAGGAGCACCATCTACACCGGCGAGGGGATGGAGGTGAAGCTGGTCTGTACCGTCATCGCCATCCCTCCGGCCACGGTAAGTGGGAGTCGGACCGCGGCCCGCCGTCTCTAAATTTAGAGCCGTTTTGGTAGGAAACCATTTACATAGAGCTGTGACTGGCAAGACGACAGTCTCCGCAGGGCGTTTTGTCTAGTTAACTTGATTTAATTGTATTTCCTTTATTGGTGATTTGTATTCATTTATTGCGGATTTGTTGTTTGCATTTGCTGTGGAGATACATCACGTTGCATAATGGGCCTGTTGGCGCCGTTGTCGCCTGACGATGTTAACTTTTAGTTGTCTGGGCGTTTGACAGATGGCGGTGTGGTTTTCGGTCGCCCATTTGTTATCGGTTTATTGATATGTTTGTTTTTGGTTTGGTGCCTTGTGTCTTTTGGTTTATTTTAGGTATCGATTTGTAATTTAGTTTTGTATTGTGATCCGCGGTCATAAGTTATTTGGATTTTGTTCGATTTACTGACCGTGACCTCTACGGTCACGTGACCCGGCGCCGGCTGACCTGCCACGTCACCCTTCTGGGTCAGCGGAGGGGCGGCTGGCGGGGCAGCGCCCATTCTTGGTTGGCCTGTCGCGGCGGCGTTAGCGTGCCGCGCATCGGTTTGGTTTGGTCGTGTTTGGCTTGGTTCAGCCGTTCGACGTGAGAGCACAAGGGCGCACCGTGTAGGTGAGTGAGCGATTTTGACCTCGGAAATTAGTTCAGGTTGGTGAGATGGTTTGCCGATTATGTTTTCTTTGCTTTGTTGTGCCTGCGTATTCGTTTGGTTGGTGTTCATTTCGTCATATGTTAAGTTTTGTTTGTTTCGATTCCAGAAATCGCTACGCTTTGTTCCGTTCTGTTTGCTGCTCTACGAGCAATATATGGTCAGCACAGGCGGAGAGCGCGTTTCACTACCGGTCGGCGCGAGATCCGGGGCCCTGAGGTCGTCGGCGGCTACAGTTTCTACACGCGCCAGTTTCTGCGCAAGCCCGCGAGCCATCTGCGCTCGCTGGCTGGTCTTCGGCTGCTCGGCGCCAGCTTCTGCGCGTGCTGGATCTTCGGGAGCGCGCAGTTTCTGCGCGCCGGCTGGATCTTCGGACGCGCGCAGTTTCTGCGCGCGCTGGCTGCGCTATCGGCGCCTGTCCTACGGACGCGCGCAGCTTCTACCAGCTTCTACGGTCTGCAGTGGCTACAGCGTTTCGCCCAGCAGAGCTCGACACGTGCCGACTGCCGGGCCTCTGCGCGTGTTTCAACGTGCTGAGTTTCTGCGTGAGCTAACGTGCGCAGAGTCGGTAAGTGATCTGGGTCTGGTTTGGTGTGACCGTGGGTTTGGTTTGGCTTGGCTCACCTCTGTGAGTTTGGACCTGTGAGTACCTACTGCTCGCGGGCAGTTTGGCCTTGAACCGGGGGCAGTTTGGCCTTGAACTTTGGACTTGGACTCGCGCCAACTCGCTCTTCCTGGGTTGGCTGTGTGCCAGGATTGGACTCAGTCTGGCTCAGTGGTATCAGTGAACTTTGGCTCAAGTAAGGATTTTGAGTGCTCTTCAAGGGAACATCAGTGGGGCTGTTGGGGTTAGCTTTAAGGTGTTACTGTGTCACGCATTTGTGTGTTTAGTGTGTGTTGTTGTTGTTAGTCTGTGTGATGCATTATTAGGGTAAGGTAGCTAAATGGCATCAAGGGAGGAGCTCTCCAAGCTCAAGTCCTCAGAGTTAGTGGAGGAGCTCAGCTCTAGGGGGCTTTCGACTTTGGGTAAAAAGGCGGAGCTTGTTGATAGGCTGTGGAATGTTGTCAAGCCTGTTGATGAGCATGATAGTGTAGACAGGGACATGTCTCAGCTAAAGGAAGATGTAAATCAGGAACAGGTCAGGATGGCAGCAGGTCAGTTGGATAGCAATACTGTGTCTCAAAATCTGTCAGGTTCTGGCTCGGAAGCGTCTCAGTTGCTCATTGCAAAATTGAGGAATTTGAAAGAGATGGAACAGCTTGAGGAACAGGAACTTAGGATTAAGATGAGACGTCAGCAGTTAGATATAGAGTTAAAGCTGGCTGAGTTGCCCAGTGGAGAGGTAAGTGAGGAGGTGATTGACTCATTGAGGATCCAGACAGACAACCAGGTGAGATCTCCCCGTTCTGATGAGACATCCGTGCTGAACTCACAGATGCAGAGGATGTTGTTGCCACCTACTGAGATTGAGAAATTTGATGGTAACGTCATGAAGTACAAACTGTTCATCAGGTCATTTGAGGCTAGAATTGTGTCACGCACGACTGACGATGACGAGCTCTTGCACTACCTTGAGCAGCTGACTGTGGGAAAACCGAAACAGATTGTTAGGAGCTGTATGTATCTGAGTGAGGGTGGTTATGCAGAGGCCCGAAAGCTGTTAGATCAGAGGTATGGCAGCTCACACAGGGTGGTCGATGCATACGTGCAAAGACTGAACGACTGGGGCAGGATCCCTCCAGGTGACGTAGAGGAGTTAGATAGGTTGACCCTGTACCTGACTGAAATCAAACACGCAATGACTGACTTGGACGTTGCAGGTGAGCTCGAACACCCGAGAACCTTGAGAGAGGTGGTTGACAAACTGCCTGGCTACTTGAAGGATAGGTGGATGAGGTTAAGTGATGATATCATGGAAGGTGAAGGGAGGATGGTTAGGTTCAGGGACTTGGTTGATTTTTTGGCCAAGGAAGTGCGAGTTAAGAGAAACCCAGTTTTTGGTAGGTCCTCGGAGAGCAAACAGGCTGCACAGAGGTCAAAGCCACAGGTCTCTGGTCGCATGCAGGCGCAGTGCAGTGCGACTGCAGTAAGCTCAGGATCAGGTGAGAACAGATGCAGGTTCTGTCGAGGTAATCACTTCCTTGATGACTGTCAGGAGCTGAAATGGAGACCAATGGATGAGAGGAAGCAGTTCATTCAGACTCAGAGGTTGTGTTTTGGTTGCTTGCGTGAAGGTCACACTGCCAGGTTCTGCAGGAAGCGTAGGAAGTGCAGCATCTGTGGTGGTCTGCACGCTACTCTCCTCCACAGGCAGGGTGAGCAGCCACCCAAGTCTGAGCAGGTGAGACCCAGTGCTGCTCCCAGCAGCTCAGTTCAGGTTAGCAGTGCTGGAGTCACTGCTGACTCTGGTCAGAGAACAGGTACTCTGATGCCTGTGGTTCCAGTGAGAGTTGTGTCACCCTCAGGGAAGACAGTGGAAACTCTTGCCTTTTGTGATAGTGGCAGCTCTGGAACTTTCATGAGTAAGAGTCTGGCTGATCAGCTTGGGATGTGCTCAAGGTCCACTAACATTTCTGTTGACACTGTGTGTGGATCTGGGAGTGAGATTTCCACATCTGTGATGGAGGATGTGAAAGTTGGTCCCCTGAAGGGTGAAGGTCTGTTCTCGCTCCCTCCAGTGTTCACTCTTGACCGCATTCCTGTGTCCACTGAGGATGTGTGTGACAGAGTTGAGTTGAGTGCTTGGCCGCACCTGTGTGGTGTGGAGCTGCCGGAGACTGATGTTGATCTGCGTGAGGTGGATCTACTGATTGGTGCAAACTGTCCACAGCTGTTGGTGCCGGATGAGGTGAGGAAGCCTGAGGGCGACGGGCCGTGCGCTCTGCGCACCCGCCTTGGGTGGTACGTGATTGGACCATCCCATCGGTCGGCTCGTGATCCTGTGGGTCAGCACTCTGTGAACCGGATCGGCGTTTCGCGTTCCGACATTCCTGGTAAGGTCTCTGAGGCTGATCTGTTCGTTCAGCTGTACGATCAGGATTTCAAGGACGCAGCTGATGAGACTGAGAGTTTGTCCGTGGAGGACAAGGAGTGGGTGAGCATGGTCAAATCTAAGCTGAGGAAGGATGAGATGGGCCATTTTGAGATAGGTCTACCACTCCGTGATGTCAGTGACTTGCCGGATAGCTACTTCACAGCTAAAAGGCGCTTGGAGCCTCTCAGGCGACGCTTGTCTGGCAACCCCGATCTTCGTGATGATTATGTTTCTGTTGTTCAGCGACTGTTTGATGAGGGCTACGCTGAGGTGGTCCCCGATGCTGAGGTTGAGACTGGGGAAAGGGTTTGGTATTTGCCGCATCACGGTGTTAGGCATCCAGAAAAGAAGAAACTAAGGGTGGTTTTTGATTGTTCTGCAAAAACTGACGGCCTGTGTCTGAACGATCTGCTGATCAAGGGACCCAACCTCACCAACTCACTTGTTGGGGTGCTGCTTCGATTCCGCCTGAATCCTGTGGCGTTCACGTGTGACGTGGAGTCGATGTTTCACAGGGTTCGACTGCCTGCTGCTGATGCGAACATGCTGCGTTTCCTGTGGTTCAGGAACGGCGATGTCGGCGGTGACGTGGTGGTCTGCCGCATGAAATCGCACATCTTCGGCGCGGTGTCTTCTCCCAGCGTCGCAGGGTTTGCACTGAGGCAGTGCGCTGAAGAAGGTAAGGTCGAGCATCCAGAGGCTGCTAGGATTGTTGATCAGAATGTCTATGTAGACGATGCACTGGTATCGGCTCCATCAGTGGATGAGGCTGTTCGTCTGGCCAGCGATTTGAGACAGTTATGTCAGACAGGCGCATTTAACATGCGCAAGTTCACGAGTAACAGCACAGAGTTCCTTCGGAGCATTCCGCGTGAGGACAGGGGCAACAACGCGAAGGATCTTGACCTCCAGGTAGAGTCGTTGAAGCCAGAGCGTGCTCTAGGCATGCTGTGGTCGGTTGAGGACGACACGTTCCGGTTCCGCTTCGTTGACAGGCGCAGATCAGTGACGAGACGAGGCATTTTGTCCACAGTCAGTGCCTTGTTCGACCCACTAGGCATCGTCGCGCCAGTCACCTTGCAGGGCAAGGTCTTGGTCCAGAAGCTGTGCATGATGTCCTGTGGCTGGGACGACGCCATTCCGGCGCCCTTGGAGGACGAGTGGTCTGAGTGGTTGGCGCAGGCCAACCGCCTCGATGCGGTCAGCCTGGACCGGTGTTTCGGGGCTTCTGATGGTGAGGTCGTTCGTCAGCTTCACGTCTTCTCGGACGCCAGTGAGACTGGTCACTCAGCAGTGGCGTTCCTGAGAACGGTGACGCCGGCAGACGACGGTGGTGTCGTGTGTACCGTGCGCTTTGTTATGGGGAAGGCTTTGGTGAACCCAGTGAAGTTCGTAACGATCCCTCGTTTAGAGTTAGCCGCGGCCGTGGTGGCTACAAGGCTGAGGGATCTGATCGTGAAGGAGTCTGGCCTTCGTTTCAGCAGCTCGTACCTATGGACTGACAGCACAGTCGTGCTGAAGTACCTTCGTAACAGGACGGCTCGGTTTAAGACTTACGTGGCAAACCGAGTCACTTTCATTCGAGACAGGACGTCGGTAGAGGATTGGAAGTACGTCCCGTCTGCTGCCAACCCGGCAGATGTCGGATCACGTGGATCCACTCCAGAGGACTTGGACATGTGGTTGAAGGGGCCGGACTTCCTTTCAGCGAGCGAGGAGAGCTGGCCGTGTGAGCCGGGGCGGTCAGTTGATGATTCCGATGATCCAGAGATCAGACATCCCTCACCTGCGACTGTTGTTGTAGCGGTCGCTGAAGTTCCTCAGGTGTCGGCTGCAGTGTCGGGTCGCGAGCAGCCGTCCGCGACTGAGAAGCTGCTCAGTCACTTCTCGTCTTGGTACAGACTCAAGAAGGCCGTGGCATGGTACATACGTTTCTTTCAGGTGCTCAAGGGGAGACTGCTCTCTCGGGCGCGCGTGATCCGCGATCGGGGTCTGCGCGCTCGGGGAGTGGGGTTGGGGACGTCTCTGAGCGTGGACGATCTAAGGTCTGCTGAGCTGAACATTCTCAGGTATGTTCAGGAGACCAGCTTCCCCGAGTTTTATGATCGTGAAGGCACGGTAAATGTGAAGTCGAGCTCCCTCAAGGGGCTGAACGTGACGCTGAAGGACGGACTGTTGGTCGTAGGGGGTAGGTTGAGCCGCTGCCCAGTTGAGAGCAGCGCCAGGTGTACTGTGCTCCTACCGAGGAACCATCATGTGACGAGACTGGTAATGCGTGACGCTCACGTGTCAGTGGGGCATCAGGGTCGTGAGCACACGCTGAGTAAGATCCGAGAGAGATTTTGGATAGTGGGGGTGGGACCTCTGGTCAGGAGCTTAGTGCGATCCTGCGTGACCTGTAGGAAGGTTAACGCAGCACCAGAGCAGCAGATGATGTCAGATTTGCCAGAGGACCGGGTGACGCCGGACACGCCAGCTTTCACGTCGGTAGGTCTAGATGTGTTCGGACCAGTGATGGTAAAAAGGGGTCGCCATGAGATCAAGCGCTATGGTCTTATGTGCACCTGTCTGGTCACCAGAGCCGTTCATGTTGAGGTTCTCCAGTCGTTAGAGACAGACTCACTGATCAATGCGATTCGCCGCATTGTAGCGCGTAGAGGGCCGATTCTTAGGATAAGGAGCGATTTGGGCACGAACATGGTGGGGGCCAACAATGAGCTACGGGCTGAGCTTGAGAGGTTAGATGTAAGTATGCTGCAGCAGTTCGCTCTGTCCAAAGGGATTGAGTGGATCTTCAATCCACCTGCTGCGTCTCACTTTGGGGGATGCTGGGAGCGATGCATCCGAACGTTTAGGAAGGTTTGGAGGTCTATGCCGACTCAGAGACTTGACGACGAGGGACTGAGCACACTGTTCTGTGAGATTGAGTCAGTGCTTAACAGTAGACCGCTGACACACGTTTCCGATGACAACGGGAACCTTGAGCCGCTCACGCCCAACCACCTGCTGCTCTTACGAGGCGGCGGTGAAGGCATACCAGGTAGGTTTACTGACGAGCAGTTCTCCGCTAAGCAGTGGAGAAGGGTCCAGTACCTCGCTGACCAGTTTTGGCTCAGATGGAGGCGCGAGTACTTGCCGACCTTACAGCGGCGCCAGAGGTGGGTATCTAAGTCTAGGAACGTAGAGCAAGGAGACGTTGTGTTACTGATAGATGAGGACGTGCCGAGAGGTCATTGGCGCATGGGCAAGCCACGCAGACGTTTCCGAGCAAGGACGGTTTGGTGAGAAAGGTGTCCCTGAGAACTGGTGGCACGGTTTTGACGCGGCCGGTGCATAAGCTGATAGTCCTGCTGCCCACTGCTGACCGGAGCCTGAGCTAGACTGCGATCGTCTGGAGCCGACTGCGGCTCAGACCTGAGTTACCGAGTGTTGTCGCGGCGCGGTGATAGTTAAGTGTTTTATTCGGTGTTTAGTGTTAAGTGATGAGTGTTAGGTGTCCTCAACCCTGTCGGTTGAGCGGGGGCAGTGTTGGCGCCGTTGTCGCCTGACGATGTTAACTTTTAGTTGTCTGGGCGTTTGACAGATGGCGGTGTGGTTTTCGGTCGCCCATTTGTTATCGGTTTATTGATATGTTTGTTTTTGGTTTGGTGCCTTGTGTCTTTTGGTTTATTTTAGGTATCGATTTGTAATTTAGTTTTGTATTGTGATCCGCGGTCATAAGTTATTTGGATTTTGTTCGATTTACTGACCGTGACCTCTACGGTCACGTGACCCGGCGCCGGCTGACCTGCCACGTCACCCTTCTGGGTCAGCGGAGGGGCGGCTGGCGGGGCAGCGCCCATTCTTGGTTGGCCTGTCGCGGCGGCGTTAGCGTGCCGCGCATCGGTTTGGTTTGGTCGTGTTTGGCTTGGTTCAGCCGTTCGACGTGAGAGCACAAGGGCGCACCGTGTAGGTGAGTGAGCGATTTTGACCTCGGAAATTAGTTCAGGTTGGTGAGATGGTTTGCCGATTATGTTTTCTTTGCTTTGTTGTGCCTGCGTATTCGTTTGGTTGGTGTTCATTTCGTCATATGTTAAGTTTTGTTTGTTTCGATTCCAGAAATCGCTACGCTTTGTTCCGTTCTGTTTGCTGCTCTACGAGCAATATATGGTCAGCACAGGCGGAGAGCGCGTTTCACTACCGGTCGGCGCGAGATCCGGGGCCCTGAGGTCGTCGGCGGCTACAGGGCCCTCATAACAGCCCACCATTCGAGACAATGACAAGCAATTTTCACAGTTATAGTGAAGGATTGTAGCATAATATAATGCATAAAATTTCAATCATTGGAAGTTCCAGCGAACTGATGCCATGCCATGCTGCTTATCATGCAGAAGTCTATTTTCACTAGCTATGGACACAGTCACGCTAGACGCAATGTCAAACAAAATCAATTCGTCGATAACTTATGGCAGCTTTTAGTCAGTCCTTCCGCTTGCGCACTTTAGGTGTTTACGAAAGGAAGCGACTGGCGCAACCACTCGAGGATTGACAACTGCCGTGTTTGACAGGTGTCTTGGGAGCGTCAGGGCTCGCCATTTGACCCCGATCGCCACTTTACACCGGGGAACGACGTCGGTGGCACGCGGCACACCCTCACCATTCAGAATGTGCGCTCCGAGGACTTTGGAAAATACTCGTGTCACGCCAAAAATCTGCTGGGGGCTGCCCACGGCAATATGGATGTGACAGGTGAGGCGAATGAGATGGCTGCAAATGAGTATGAGATAAAACTTTACTGAAATAGCTCCCGAGTACCCGAGGCGTTGTTTGACATATATTCGAATTTTAATATCAGCCAACTTTTACGAAGATGTTAGGGGAGAGATTTCTTAGAACTATAACCGCTTGCGATAGTTGGATGGCTTTGATCTCATCACATTCCCCAATGTAGTTTGCTACCGGTTTTTAAAGTTTATAATGAATATTTTATAGAATTTGATGGAGCGTGTTTATCTATGCAATGGGTGCAGAGTTTGAAGAGGTCTGACCGCAGCTCCTTAAAATTAATTTGTCGGTTGATTGCTTGCATACATTTACGTTCCAATTTAAGCTTCTCAGATTAACGGAACTTCAAAGTCATTTTCCTCGTCGGCAAGCTTAATGGCTTCGGTGAATCTTTGGCAAAGCCCATGTGCACATTCAGACAGTAACACATGTAGGCTGGCATTGATTAACAAACCGCAGGCAAGTTCAATAGCTCTTGCATCCCATCATTACACTCAAACGAAATGACCACTGAGAATCAGAACATTCGGCTCCATCACCGCGCTCTAGCACGGTGCCTGTAGAGACTGGAGATGCTGTGCCGCATTGCGCTGAGGTGTTGCGGCACAGCCTACCCAGTCAGTGTACGGCCGGGAGTGAGCGGCCCGCCCCGAACAGCACGGAGCTCCGAATGTTTCCACATGCAATAGGCCGCAATGCCGGGTAGATACATGAGTGACGAACGCAATGAAGGCAACGGGCATTAGGCAAGAGAGCTCCGTGTCCCGTGAAATTGTAGCTTGCAATTCGTATGAATGCATTATAATAGCTGACAAGAACGAAAAACCGAAGGATAGCCTTCGCTCTTGTCCATATTTTTTTGCGGATTAGGTACGTAATGAAATATAGATATAAGCTTTTACATAATAAAGAAATACAAGATGAAACAAACGTATAATTCAATGTACCTATGTTTTTGAGGATCCGAGGAGATCCGATGAAGCTGGTACTAAACACGAACTCTAACCGTCAAAGTTAAGCTCAATTTATGTTAGTTGATTTCTCAGAGGCAAAGTTACTGGACTTCACTGCCTGATTTAATTACTTCGTTCTTGTTTGTCTTGTTTACTCGGATTGTTTTCTGTCACCTTGTAGTTCGCTAAATATACCTACATAGAGGCAGCGTTGAGCAACTTCCTTTGAACAGATCGAATCCAAACATTAACCCGCGCCCCGTAGGGCTACCGGCGGACCCTACCACCCGTAGGGGGGGGGGCCGTTTCGGCCCCCCCTAAGATCTCGGAAAGTTACCGGCCGATTTTCAAAATTCAAACGGCGTTCGATAGCCCCACCCGGGAACTACCTTGTGACCAAATTTCATTGACCTAGGTCAAACCGATGACGTCACAGGTCAGGTCAAAGGTCAGATTTTCACCGTTCACAGGCAATTCAAGAAATATGCTGTGAAAGCGAGTAAATTGGTAATTTATTGAAAACCATCGATGGTACATTGTTCGTCAAACACATACTTTGCTATCTGAGGTCACTGATACAAGGTCAGGTCACAGTGAGGTCAGGTCACCGGGGGTCACAATATGAATGTGTCGTGTGATACATGTTTTATGGTCCATTTTACATGACAAATGCGATTATGTGGGTTAGGCAGCCTTTGGGGCCAGCCTAGGTCACGTTTTTGTGAAGGTCAGGTCAAGGTCAGGTCAAATTAGGTCAAATTTCAAAGTTGATATTTTTGCATAAAATGGGTATCGATTCGATGCAGCTCGTCACGGGGAGTCTAATGGTGGTCTTCGTTTTGCTCTACGAGTTCTAGAATTGCCAAAAATTGAGTTTGAAAATTTGACGTCATCATTTTTGAACAGTTTTTTCGCTATAACTTGGCCAAAAAACGAGGTATCGATCTGAAATTTGGTATGTAGATAGAAGACGGTAGGCACTATCACATATATTCCGGTTTTTTCGAAACTCAAAAAACTTTTTGGATTTTTTGGCGAATATATCCAAAAAAATGCTTTTTTGATTTTTGGGGGTCAAAACTCAAAAATTTCAAAAATTCGAGATAGCAGTTTTGTAGCCCTGTCAATTCTACACCTTTTATGTCTTGATCATTTTTCTGTATCTTCAAAGCTGTAGTCCTGACAGGTCTTCTCGCGAAGGTCTTTTTTCGGTCGAAAATGACAGAACATGACGTCACTCTGACGTCATTTGTGGCCAACCTATCATAGCCTCTGGAAAAATTTTTGGTCACAATGTGTAAAATTGATGCCCGGAGGGGTCCTGAAAGTTTGGTGGCGATATCTCCAGCCGTTTAGGAGATATCGACCGAAAAGGACAGGGGGGGGGCCGTTTCGGCCCCCCCCCTACGGGGCGCGGGTTAATATTGGTTTAATTTAGATGGATTTTTTTCCGAAAATAGCAAGGCAAAAGACGTATGCAAGATTTATGATGCATCAAAAGAAATAGAATAATAGCATGGCTGATGCCCTATGTGACACTGAGTCGTGCCGATGGCGAGGTATCCCTTCTATCCTAATGGCTGATCAAACTATTTGCTTCATTTTTTTTTGTGGGTGACATTCATTAATGAACACCATCTCAAAACTCGGTGATAGGGCTGGTCTGCTAAAAATGCACCTCAAGTCTTATTTGGATATAATGCTTACTTTCCACTTTTCCAGCACTGAAACCACTCAGCCGGAATGCATAAAACTTCAACACCGCTCGAGATCATGTATGGATTCCTACTTCATTTCCCCGATAATGAACTTTGATAACTGCAGCCCACACCAGCGGCCTCTCCGTCAGATTTACCAGAGCCTGTGACCTTACGATGGCCCCGGATGCCCGCAGGCGTGGCCGACCGGGCTGTTATCACCAGTGGACCCATCAGTACGGCTCCCGAACAGTACGAGCTCAGCTGGAAGGTGGAGAGTTTCAGCCCCGTGCTGGAGTATAAGGTGGCCTACAGACCCGTGCGGGTAAGTCCCACAGACGAGTGGGGATAGGGACGCCCCCCCCCCCAGATACGTGAGGGCGAGTCTCTCAAATCTGTGCGGGAATGTTCCACAGACTTCCGTGGGTAAGTCCCATGCAGCTCGTTGATTATTTACAGCTGCCTCGAAGTCGCCGGGACAGATGCTGCAGCCAATTCAATTCGGCTGGCGCCGGACATTGGCGGTCATTTGGTAAATGTATCGGGTCATTTAGGGAATTTTGAAGGCTTTGACGGCGCTGTCTCCCTCGGACGCTCCCAAATCTGTGATCACTCAGTGTGTATCTAAAAGAGATCAATTCAGAGGGGATCCCAGCGCGCCTCCAAATGAAGTTTGCGCCAGGATTACATTTCATGAATTGTTTCGAACAAGTTTTTCAACAATCAGCAATTGTGTGTTCACCGACACGTATATAAGTACTTTTGACAGTTTCTAACACATTGCATGGAGTAACGCCTAAATAATTGTTGTCCAAGTTTGGCTTTCTATGTATAGATATAACGTGTGGTGTGTGTGCAGATATAAATTGCTACCTATAATACCTACACAGAACAGCGGAGCAGGGAAAACACAAAATAAAAGAAAAAGAGAGTGAGAGAGAGAACAACAGAGAGAAAGACAGAGAGATAGAGAGAGAGAGAGAGAGAGAGAGAGAGAGAGAGAGAGAGAGAGAGAGAGAGAGAGAGAGAGAGAGAGAGAGAGAGAGAGAGAGAGAGAGAGAGAGAGAGAGAGAGAGAGAGAGAGAGAGAGAGAGAGATGCAGAGAAAGAGAAATAGGAAGGTTACTAAAACATCTCATATCCGTGACACCAAATGAAACACCCACGTGTTCATATCGTTTCTTTACCAACCAGACGCCGAGAGCCGGGATTTCCTCGGCCGAAAATCCAATATCCCTCCGTCCTGACAAGGCGGCGTCTGCACACTCGCCCGAGCGTCTAAATCCGCGCTTTTCTCTGGTCAGACTGGCTCTGGCGGCTCGGCGGCTGGTCGGCTGGTCGGTCGGTCGGTCGGTCAGTCGGTCGGTCGGTCGCGGCTGCACCGGCCCGGTGCGGGTGGTGACGTGCGAGCCAATTTCGCCGCGGCCGGCAGCCTGCCGGCAGACCGGTGGTGCTGATGAGTTTATGACGCCGCAATCCGGCCGACCCCGGCACTGGTCTGATAATGCGGCTATCGCCGCCGCCAGCCCTCCGTCTGGGATGTCTGACGGCCGCAGACAGGGGCAGGCTTCAGCACCCCTCATAGGACTGACAAGCGTCATCAGGCACCAGTCAACCCGACTGACACACGTCATCAGGCCCCAGTCAACCCGACTGACACACGTCATCAGGCCCCAGTCAACCCGACTGACACACGTCATCAGACCCCAGTCACCCTCCGAGGCAATTAACATTCTGATACACAGGCCAGCCAAACTCCGCGTCATCCCTCAAGGGACCCACACACGCCGTGAGATTCAATCACCCTCATACATCGAACCCATATACCCTACCCTACTAAGCGCCGTCATCACTCGCTAACAACGAAATATTCAGGCCCTGTTCAGTACTCATCATCCGTTCCAGATCTTCTATAAAATAACAATGTCACCTACATTTACCACTTAGTGTGAAGTCGCTCATCATTGATCATTTATTCATACATCGGTCTTACCCATCACACTTTTGACATATCCAGTGGCGGATCCAGGGGGGGGGGGCAAAATGGGCATTTGCCCCTCCCAAACGGCATAATGTTAACATTACGCCTACGGACGAGGCATGGAAAGAATCGATAAATTGTTATGGTTTGCCCCCCCCCCCAAAAAAAAAACTCTGAGCTGGATCCGCCTCTGGACATATCAACATTGTTCAGTGTATAGGTCTAGGCCCATCCCACATTGACTATTACAGGTCTAACAAACCCCAGTTTCAGCTTGCAGACCTCCCACATACCACCAGAAACAGGCCATGGATTGTCAGCCCAGCAGACCACACCCAGCCCACACTGTAGGCACCGCGGGCCGTCCACCCCAGGAGAGGAGACTGGGGGGGGGGGGGCCTGCCGGAGGTCTAGTCGAATCTACCGACATCTGACGCTCGCCAGACCTCCGGCAGGGCCCAGGCCATGTCGTCTGCCCGGCGACCGCCTCCACAGTGAGCTGAGTGACCACGACAGCTTCTCACAGCAGCCAGTCTCATGTCCACAGCTGCGTGCCTTATCTCAAATAGCCACCTTTCTGTTAAAATTAGCTATTTCTTAGATACAAGACCAAGGCCTGAAATATTCCACCCAGCCGAGTGAGCCGCCACTGACTAGATAAGAATCCTGAGAGGGTGCTTACGCTCCGTTAGTTGTTTCTCGCATCAGACAGCGCTCTCAGACCGTTCCGATCCTCTGAATCCTCTCATCTCCGCGATATCTCCATGTCTCGTCAGCGCCCCGCCGTTCCCGTTTACCCCTGCCACGCCATCCAGTTTAATATCGTTACCATTACCATCACCATAACCATCACCATCACCATCAGGCGAACGGCAGCGGCCTGGAGCTGGTGTCGCGCCGCTGGAGAGAGGTCAAGGTGCCGTCGACTGGCAGCCGCACCGGTACCGGGGTGCTCTACCGACAGCAGATCCCGCTCTCCAAGCTGCAGCCGACCACCGCCTACGAGCTCTACGTGCAGGCCAAGAACAAGCACGGCTGGAACGCCGTGTCTGATACGCTGCATTTTTCCACAATCGCCAGCGGCGAGGGTGAGTTATATAAGCGATAACGATGTACTATTTTCGCACTTCAAAGGATCGCATTCTGGTGTCAATAAGCAGATAGCGTGCATCGCTTTTAAGTTGTGACATGTTAGACGTCGGGCTTGCGAAATGTTACAGTGCACAGAAATGATGAGCTACATTTGTTGTAAATTATTTCCGACAAATGGAAAATGACGTTGACTGTTACAAATGTAATACGATTAAGAAGTTGCAGCGGGAGCTAAATCCGTTTGTCAGTTCTCGAGGCCAACAACAGCACATAATTACGTATTCAAGCGGCCTAAATGTTGCGTTGAACCTCTCAAACACCGTCCGAGAAGTTTTTGCATCAGCATATATGAGGAGATTAACGCACCCAAGCGCGGTGAGTCGCTTAACTTGTTGAAAACTCAAGCGGAGTCCAGAGGGGACTCCTTAACTCCTGCTAACACTCTTAAGCTTTTACACTGGCAACTGTTTCCGTTGGTTCTGGTGACTAATGCAGCGACGCATTTCTCATTCGGCGTTTGTTGTCCTTTCAGCTCTGGAGTCGCGAAGTTTGTCGTCGTCAGCGGCGGGCGGCTGGAGGTCCGAGGCCGTATTGGCTGCCCTCCTGGCCTCTGTGCTCACACTCTGCTAGTGACACGACCTCCCTGTGGTGTCCTGCGCCGCCTGTGCGCCGCCGGACGCGCTAGACATAGCCAGGACTACGGCTGGGATCGTTAGCCCGCGCCGGAAGGACGGACAGTCGGCTGCAGCCATCAAACGCTGCACATTCCGCGGCCCGCGGACGGGCCGGATCTCAGTGGGGGGCGCGGGCCGGCCGGCCGGTGCTCGTAAAGACAGGTCGCCATGTCGTCGGGACTCGCCGATGCCGACGAACGACTGTTATGTGGCGCCGATGGCTCGACGGTCGACGAGTGGCGAGCGCGAGCTCAAGTGGTTGTGGAGGGAACGCTCAATATCGGCGTCCTGCGCCGCCGCGTCTCGGTGAGTGGTGTCGAAGGCGCAACTGTCCGTGTTAAATCAAGTGTCGGTCGTGATGACCCTGTTCTCTTTTCACAGCTCGTGAACTTCAACTTGATGGTGCCTTGTTCGTGCGGTGGTGACGTGAATGACATGGGCTCGTGTGACCGTGATGATCGATGATCGTTCAAAGTGTGGTATTTTTAATTGTCGCACCATGGCTCCGGTCCCCGGCGTGGCGGGGCGGCAGCGGTCGCGCTGTCAGCATCGGTGTCATGTCATCGGCCCGCTCTGTGTTGCGCCGCCACGATCTGGATGCTGTGAGGGGATGTCGCGGCTTTTGTCAGCTGTTCTTATCTGCATGGATGGATCGTTGTGTCGCTGTGCGAGCCGGTCGTCGCTCACGAGTTGGCAGCCGGCTCCGTTCTCCGCAGTATTTATCTGTATGAGGAGGTCTGAGAGCCTCCGTCTGAACGGAGGGGATTGTCGTTTCCAATAAACCGGGTGCACATGAACTGGAGCCGACGTCCTCCCAATGAGCTCGCCAGAACGTCGGGATGAAATACATAAATACTGTATGGATTGTGGCAGGTGGGGGCTATCGAACCGACGTCATTCCATGAGAATGGGATATTCATTGGAGCTCGGCTCTGTTCGCCTGGGCGGTGATATCACGTATTCACATTGGACCTTCTACGAACAGCAGAACGAAAGGCTGGGATTGGGCAAGGAAAAGATGCCCTAGAAAATTCGCTAGGTTTTTATTGAAATGGAAGTAACGTTGCTTAGGGCAGTTTCTTGGACGCAAGTGCAACGAAAATACAGGAAGAAAAGAAAGTGGAGCATGTCTTTCGGAAACATCCAGGGTAATTGAGTTTTAGATTTTGTTGAAGTAGAACATTGAATATATAGTTACAATGCCGCAACACATTAAACTACAAAAATTTACTTGGCCTTTTTAAATCACAACCGCAGTGTATGTGAAGCTTCCGCCCATTTTTTTTTTCTAAACATATCCATGGATTTGAAGGAATAATGATAGCCGTTTTCACGACGGACTATCCGGCGAGTGCACCTAATTTGACGAAATCTGCACCTAATCTCTTTTACAGCAAATATCTTTATTTTATGAATTTATTTCACTGTTTTAACCCGCGCGTGGCTGGGGTCTCCAGCCGAACGCGCGAGGCTGGGGGGGGGGGGTAAATTTTACCCCCCCCCTGTTATCTCCCGAACTAATGGTTCGAAACGCCAATCGAAAGATCTCATCACGAACAACTAAAAACATTTACTTAATTTTAAGTTTGAGGTCAAGGTCAAGGTCAGGTCAAGGGTACAAATTGCAAGTTCCTACAGTATCGGCCTTGCACCGTAGTTGCCGAAGAATGGAGTCATGGACTGAGACTGATCGCCCAAAACGTGTTCTTAGGCTACCAAGACAATATTCGTTGCATACAATATCATTCAGAGGTCAAGGTCAAGGTCAGGTCAGGTCAGGTCAGGTCACCAAAAACAAAATATAGAAAAGGGCATGTGCGACACATGTTTTATGGGTCATTTTACTCATAGAATTCAATAGGCACACTCAATAAGTGACATGGACCACCTCTGGATGAATTTCAGGTCGAGGTCAGGTCAAGGTCAGGTCAAGTGAGGTCAAATTTTGAAGTTGGTTGTTAAGGCCTAAAAAGGTGTTTATCTGATGCAGTTTTTCACGGCGAATCGAATGGTGCTACATTTGTTTCCGTACGAGGTCTAGAACTTCCAAAAAAGTCATTTTTCAAAATTTTTGTGTGTCGTGACGTCATACAATTTTAAATAACTCCCACATTTTTTAACCGATTCTTCTAAAACTTGGTATGTAGGTGCACATAGACCACTTCTCTGACATATATTCCGGTTTTTCGATACACTCAAAATTTTGGATTTTATAGCTATTTTCCCAAAAAAGTCAGTTTTTTTGAAGAAAAAAAATCGGCAAAAATCCAAAATTTTCAAAAAACCGAGATAGCCAATTGATGAACAAAGTAAAATTACGTATATCCTTTTTTGTTACGTCTTGATTCCTTTAAAAATGAAGATGTTAGCGGCGTTTGAACTTTTGCCGTTTTTGAGGCGAAAATGGCGAACATGACGTCACTAAAACGTCAATTTCTCAAAAATTTCCGACGGATTTCGCTCAAATTTTCAGGGAACGTGTCAAATTGATGTAAGAAAAGATACTGAAAGTTTGGCGGCGCTGCGCGCCGCCGTTTTTGAGATATTGCAAAAATTCGCGAGGGGGGTAAAATTTACCCCCCCCCCCCCAGCCCCGCGCGGGTTAATCGATGAAACTCTCTGATAATATGACAAAGCAGGCATATAAGCAATAAGTGCACCCTAGCTGAGAGCTACTAGAAGACACACTGAACCTAATTTGACCAAATCTGCACCTAAGCTGACCAAATGTGCACCAAATTTATTTATTTATTTATTTATTTAGGCTCGTTACAACATCCACGTAGTGGCTTTTACGTTGTAGTGTCAGTATACATGAAAATCATCTCACATCTCGGGCATAGATAAAAAGACAAAAAGAAAAGTAAAATACAAGAACACGATAAGAATATTAAAATACCACGATAACAGCATCTATAAAATGTTGAGGTAAGCTAAATCACCATCCAATAGGTACATGAAATATATGTAAAAGATGACAGTAAATTGAGCGGTACTAAACGACCTAAAAGGCGAACGAACAATGACACCTAAGATATAAACATTGCACAAACTATCACACTAACGCATTCTCTCTGATATTCTTCCTGCACTGCCTAACGGTCGGCGCCTCCCGGACAGCTGGTGGCGCTCCATTCCAGCTAGCCACGGCGCGGTAGGTAAAGAAGCGCCGGGCACGTTCAGTGCGCACCTTGGGTAGCTGGAGCTGCCCAGCTTCAACGGCCCGGGTGCTGCGTGCTGATATGTCTGCGCGGGACTCGACAAGAGTTTTTAGATTTGCGGAATAAGTTCCGTCTTTTAGAATCTTATGAATCGTGAGAATATCCTTTTCCACAATAAGTTTGTCTAAATTTTGCCAATTAAGCTCAGCGAACAACGGTGTGACGTGCACGTTGCGCCGTGATGAGGTAGTGATTTGGGCAGCATGATTCAGCACCTTCTGGACTCGTTTCCGCTGGACATCCCTGCACCCACCCCAAACAGTAAGGCAATACGCTATATGTGGGAAGACCAGAGCCTCAGCAATGAACTTTTTTACTGCGGTGGGTAAAGAATGGGAAAATTTCGCCAGCCCTGCCAAAGTTGCGTATGATCTCCGGATCACCATCGAGACATGGTCCTCCCACTTCAGCTCGGGGTCCAATGTGACGCCTAACACTTTCATCTTGATTGCTGGCCGCACCTGCGCACCAGCAAAGTTCACCATAATGTCGCCACCAATGCCTTGTTTTGGCATGCCAAAAAGTATCATTTCGGTTTTAGCCGGATTAATTTTAAGTCCGTTTTGGTCATACCAGTTCTGAACGATGGAGAGCATATCCTCCACTTTGTGTTTATGACTATTCATATCGTTTTTGTTGAAACTGTTGAGAAATTGCGAGTCATCGGCATACATTACAATTTTATCGCAGACGACATGGGAAGCGACATCATTAGTGAATAACGAGAACAAGATTGCTCCCAAAGTGCTCCCCTGTACCACGCCATGGGTGACAGGAAGGAGGTGTGACCCCCCTTTTACTATCTGACGCCTACCGTCAAGCCAGTCGGAAAACCAGTGCCCATCCACACCGTGCCAACCTAGTTTATCCATGAGTCTGCCATGCTCGACGCTGTCAAAGGCTTTGGAGATATCGGCCGCAATATTTGACACCACTTTCCCCTTGTCAGTTTCCGATATTATGAATTGGACAGCGTCGAGCATAGCAGACTCCGTGGAGTGACCCCTACGGAAGCCATGTTGCTCCGGACAAATAACATTATGCAATGTAAGATATTCCACCAGTTGATTACATACCACCCGCTCCGCCAGTTTGGACACCGTTGGCAGAACCGACACGGGGCGAAAACAGTTAACATCAGTCGCATCACCTGATTTGAATAGGGGTGTCACTATGGCCAGCTTCCACTCATCCGGCAATGTTCCTGTTCGGATGTGCACCAGATGGCCGTCGTGAAAACGGCTAATATATAGTTTTGTCAAATCAGTAAAAATAAATGCGGGAGCGTACATACAGTTGAAAGCATACGCATCAAAGCCAACACAAATATTGCATTGCCAGAGGACAATCCCGGCTCCCGTCTGAAGTTTTTCAGTTCCCAATACATGCTTCTTCATATTTCTTTTTATATGAAGCAACATCGTTGAATATGCGTCGCGACCATTTTATTCCGACTGAACATTTTTATGCATAAATTATAGTGTTTTTTTTTTTCTTCTTCAAAATGATGTCATGGCAAACATCCATACCCGGCTGACATATCCTCAACAGAATGGAAGGTGCTTGTCAGCTACTCAGATTAGCAGAGCTTTATGAGTCTACATAGTTGACCGACCAGGCTTTCAACGACTACACAAACGATAGAACATTGTGGTAAACACTAAACAATCGTTAAAACCCTCGCCCATGTAGGGGGGGGGGGTTGGTGCAACCCCCTGAGGTTTTTCTTAGCTACACGCCGAACCGTTTCAGATAGCCTACTCAAATTTTCAATACCCTTTGGGGCATCCTTTGCGCAACTTTTGGTAAAAAATTTTTGTCAAGGTCATGTCAGGTCACGGAGTTATGACGTCATAAAGGGAACAACCTCCGGCCAGATTTACGCTAAATGGGAGATTGCTTCACATTGGTATAAATGCCGACTGACCTGACACACTGATGGATTGTTTTAGAATCATAACTGGCTGATTTGACATTGGCACAATGTCCGTTGACCTTTTCAAGGTTACTAAAGGTCAAGGTCAGGTCAGTGACCTCGGTTGACCTGTAATGACTTCTTGCACTTGTATGCCTTTTCGGGGTATTTTGATGCCCTGAATTCGAATTTGCTATCCATTTCAGGCATCGTCGGTTGTTTCTTGTAGTTCATTTTGGGTCAGGGTCAGGTCAGTGACGTCACATGCCTGACGTTACCCAATGCACAAATGACCTTGCAGACTTCCGATGCTCCCAACGCATCATTTTTAGAATTATGACATCGAAATACACACCAAACGATAGAGAAGTGATCAAGGATCACGAAAGTGAAGGTTTCAAGTCGATATCTGTTACCGTTTTGCCGCAATCGGCGCGGAAATCTAAAAAAGTTAGATTTTTCCGAAAATTTGACCTTTGACCGGTCATAAGTAGGTCAAATGTTGACCTAGGACCAAAAAATATACCACCAATCGCGAGATCTCGTTGAGAGCAATTCGTTGGTCTTTTCCGCTAAGCTCTTCGACGCTCCGTTTTCAAACGCCAGGGGGGGGTCGCACCAACCCCCCCCCCTGCATGGGCGAAGGTGGCAAAACACCGTTTACGG